AGTGCTCACACTTGCAATCCCACCACTTTGGGAGGCTGAAGCAGACAGATCACCGGAGCCCAGGTGATCTGTCTGCTTCAGACAACATGGCGAGACCCCATCTCTACAAAATAAAAGTAAAGGCCAGGCACGGCGGTGCTCACCTGTAGTCCCAAGTACTTGTGTGGCTGAGGTGGAAGGATTGCTTTCACCTGGCAAGTTGAGGCTGCAGTGAGCCGTGATCGCACCACAGCACTCCAGCCTGGGTGACAGAGTGAGAACTTGTCTCAAAAATAATAATAACAAGATGAAAACCCTAATTGCCATTTTACTTTGACGGCAAAACTCTAAGCATAAAATCTAAGCATACTATGTGCTTCTATAGTGTTTTTGTGTATTTTCAAAAATATACTTTTGCCAATGCAAATTCAGACATTGCCTCTGCAGTATATAATAACCCTAGGCTGGATGTGGTGTCTCATGTCTGTAATCCCAGTGCTTTGGGAGGCAGAAGCATCACTTAAGGCCAGGAGTTGGAGACCAGCCTGGGCAACATAACCTTGTCTCTACAAAAAATAATTAGCCAGGCGTGGTGGCACACACCTGCAATTCCAGCTATTTGGGACCCCAAGAGTTTAGGCTGTAGTTAGCAATGATGGTGCCACCATACTCCAGCCCGTGGATGACACAGTGAGACCCTATCTCAAAAAAAAAAAAAAAAAAAAGATAACTATGCTTTTTAAAAAAATTTTCTTTGACTCAATGTGAGAACCAAATCGTAAGAACATTAGGTTGCAGATGTTATGGGTTACCTTGTGTTAATTAAAATTTTTAGGCCAGGAACAGTGGCTCATGCCTGTAATCCCAGCACTTTGGGAGGCCAAGGCGGGCAGATCACGAGGTTAGGAGTTTGAGACCAGCCTGACCAACATGATGAAACCCTGTCTCTACTAAAAATACAAAAATTAGCCGGGCATGGTGACACACACCTGTAGTCCCAGCTACTACAGCTACAGGAGGCTGAGGCACGAGAATCACTTGAACCTGGCAGGCGGAGGTTGCAGTGACCCAAGACTGCACCACTACACTCCAGCCTGGGTGACAGGGCGAGACTCTGTCTCAAAAAAAAAAAAAAAATTTTTTTTTGAACAGGGAATACTTTTGTGTGTTTCAGACTAAGAAACTGATTTTATACGTATTTATAATTATATATATATACACACACGTATGCAGTAAAGTTTCATTTTTACTTGTCCTTCAGTCACCATTTCATTTCCTCTTACACACTAACGTTTTCAGTTTCTTATTTATCCTTCCAGTTATTTTATGGACATACCAATAAATACACACATCTATTAATATATCCAGTATTTTCCCATCTCTTTTTTGCACAACCCCTTAAATATATTTAAAATAAAACAGAACAACAAATTTTTGGTAAACAAAATTTAATACAACCATATAGTCAAGTAATAATGGTTAAAAGACATTTTATTAGATACAACTTTTAAAAAATTAAACTATGCAAGAAGTATATTTAAACAAAACACGTAAGCATTCACGTGCTACAACTTAACTAAGAACAATGAAATACAAAGCATTCTTTTCACACTATGAAGACTCTGGAGCCTCTAATTGAAAGCAAATGACCTTAGGTCTATACTAGTTATAAAGCAGATTATACTTTTGTTCAACTCTAAATTGTATTGTCTTAGAGCTCCAACAACTCTCAATAAAAATTTAAATAAAGAAACCATGGGGGAGGGGTGATAGGGAGGGAAGAGTAAGTGCTTTTTCAAGAAAGTTAAATGAAAAAGCCTGAAGAGGGAAAAAATTGTACATAAGTATGGAACAAAAATATGTATACTTTTTTGACATTTGATGTAGATACTGCAAATGAATTTACACGGGTTTAATCAATGTAAGATAGATATTTGTTTGAATATTTTAAAAAGCACCTAGGTATCAAAAAATAAAAACAAAAAATATAATGAAACTCCAAACATCCAACAATCTCCCTTAACATTCTCATTCTGCCAAGCAACCACACGCTGGTGCTTATTACACAATTTAAGAAGGGGAAGTTTATTTACTCTATAGGAAACAAATATGAACCTTGTCTAAGGTAAGCTTCATTTAGATTGAAAAAAAAGTTGAAATAGCACTAGAGAACTTAAGGCACATAAACAAATTCAGGTGCAGTTATTCTGAAACCATTAAAACAAATTCTTTTCTTTGGAACAATATATAAAATAAGTTATGAATGTTGCTGTTTTTAAAAAATTTATGATGATAACCTTCAGCACTAGGAAAATTTTAATATCTAAGGCAATCACACAAATGTAAAACGTTCATATAAAACATTAAAAAATGTCTAAAGTGTCTCTGGAATTATTCATTCACACTCCTGGCTCAAATGGTTTCTGGTGCCTAGCATTAGATGTGACAATAATGATAGCTAGCTAGTCAAACCTACTGCCTTAAAGATCAACCAATTCGCTCCATTCTGGTTACTTGGCATGGTGAATTTATTTAACTAAAAAGAATAATGGGGTGAGGTGATGTAAACCTGGTTTTCAATAAGATGCACAACAAATTCTAATAAGGCCAAAACTCTGTTGAGGTTAACTGGTGTCTTGAGTTTACTAAAATAAAGGCAGTCCATAGGAAGCCTTGAAGAGCCATTATCTTACCACTTGGCACCACATAAACACCAAGCCCTTCTCTCTGAAAATACAGGCCGGGCGTGGTGGCTCAAGCCTGTAATCTCAGCACTTTGGGAGGCCAAGGTGGGTGGATCACATGGTCAGGAGTGATCCATCTCTACTAAACCCCGTCTCTACTAAAAATACAAAAAAATTAGCTGGGTGTGGTGGCATGCATCTGTAGTCTCAGCTACTCGAGAGGCTGAGGCAGAATCCCTTGAACCCGGGAGGTGGAGGTTGCAGTCAGCTGAGATTGCACCACTGCACTCCAGCCTAGGTGACAGAGCAAGACTCCGTCCCCCCACCCCCCAAAAAAGAAAATACAGTTTGAAGTAGATGTCTTTTCCACATATAAATCTCAAGACATAAAAGGCACACACAATTCAACTCTTCTCTTTTCATATATGGGTTCTCACAGCAATTTAAAAAATCTATTGCCATATCCAGACAACAGGAAAAAACAAAAACAAAAACAAAAACATACCTGGTTTGCTTATTGACAAAAGTGGTGTAATTGAACCTTTGTCTTTCCTGAGTTTCAAAAAGGCTATTTGACAGTAGAGATACATAAACAATTCATATTCACTAAGATAAAATGTATCAGTCCACAAAACATTTTCATCTTTTTAAATATAAAAGAATCAATGTTCAACCACCACCATGTGTGAAGCCCCTTTTTCCAAATTAAACTTACTCTAGAATCATGAATTGAAGATTATTCAGTTATGGCACTTTACACTCCAAACAAGCAAAAGTAACAAGTTAATACCCTCCCTGAGTATTTACATCATCTTATCACCTGGTTTAAATGGAGTAAATACCTATATTTCAATCATCTAGGAAATAAAAAGGTTACTGAAGATCCAATACACTAGTATTTCATACCTGTGCAGTAAAGTCAGTGGGAAGATTACAGTAGAAAAGGAGGAGGTTCTACTGTTGTAAAAATTAGACCACTTTTGTAGCTGACTCACATAGAGGAAAAACAGAAAAGGATTAAAGTTCATTAAAAACAAACAAACCTGTACTTTTCTGTTCTACAAAGCATACCTTTGAATTCCCTTTCCAACTGAGGTTATCACAGCTGGGTTTAGCAAACTCATCTCTTCTGACCTTGTAAAACTAAATTGTCACAAAGATTCTGATTATTCACAAGTCATCATTACTAATACTCATCATGTACTTTCAAATGTAAAAAGTTGTAGAAATGCCCAAATAAAAAAATCTTCCAGAATTGAATTTAGCATGGTCAACTAATTTTTACTTTATATGCTTTTTTTCTGATCATCGCACACTGCTAAAATTTGTGGTGTTTGGTATATATGTGCGTATACAACCATACTATCTACATACATACATATGTACATATATAGATTCTAAACCAAAGGTTTATATGAGCATCACCTATCAAAAGAAAAATCTTTATGTGATGAGAGAATGAATACAATCTAACACCAATTTGGCTGATATATCCCTTTTGGTATATTAATTCTACTCTAAAATTCTTGTTTATTTTATCAAGTCTAATGCTATTATTTATCAAGAATTAGTAAAGGAAGATAAATATTAAAAAATGAAAATATAAGTTGGATAACTTTAAAAATAGTTATTTAAATTTTCTAAGATTCAATGTAAGTTCTTGGTGGCCTTCAATATAAATTTTAACTACTTAATTTATGTAGTTTTAAATTATGTAGAGGAAAAAATTAATATTGGTATGAGGGCTGTGTTTAAAAAAAATCTGTTTTTCAGGATTTCATTTCAAATTTACTATAATAAACACATGGATATTAAAATAAATGTATAACAAAATAAAAGTAAATAGTTAATACTTTTTACAATAGACAAAAATACTGAAATACAAAGTTATCTTGAGAAAGTCTTTTTTTATGTGAAGTCCTGTATTCATGAAATAGACATGATCTTACAAATACACATGAAAATAACAACTATCATTTGTAGAATCCTCAGCATTTACAAAATACTTTTTCACACATTATCTCATTTACTGTAAAGAATTTCTGATCTAAATAATTCTATTATCTATAAGAGTATAATGCAGATGTTTACTCTAAAATTAAAGTACAAGTATCCAAACTGTACCTACATTCTTTCAACTAAGATGATAGGAAATTGTTTTCTGAATTGCTGTTACCACAAAATGGTATTTTAAAATTATGATTTGAAAAATAAAAATTCCCTAACAATTTTTAAGTTTTTTAGAGTTTTCCTCAGAATGTAGATTCTAGCTAAGCATTAAAGTTTAAAAAATGTCTATTTGAAATCTCTGTATCATTCTAAGATGAGAAAACAATGTAGCTTACCAATGTCAGGCTTTTTATTTCAACCTTGGTTTTAACAGAAATCTGGTGACACTCTAATTACATATTTGCATCATCCCTTCTGTCACAAGAAATATACAAATTATAATGTGAAAGACAACAGAGACTGGAAGTCAACCTACAGCAGGCTACCTAGAACATCCCTAAATGTTGTAAATTATATCCATCCACCCAGAATCACAATAATCACTTATGCTGTAGTTCCTGCCATATCCATCTATTTGCATTAGAAAAAAAATTCACATTCCGCTCTGAAAACTGATGAGCTTTATAAAGTGGAGTTGAAAAATCTAGACAAAAGCAGTCTGTTGTACAGAAGCTTGAAAATGCTGATTAGTATTTTACACAATGGGGGCCAAATGAAAGACTTATCTTAAAGATGGGAACTACTGCTAAGTTTTTTCAGATAACTAATTTTAAAAGAAAAATGGACCCACTGAGATAGGTGGTCCCTGCTTTATCCTATTAAAGGTACCGTAACAGTAGAGCCTCTCAGGAATTTTAGCTGTTCACTAGAAGTTAGGATAATCAAGGAAGAGGTCCTCACCCAAAGCACCATACTAATGAGGTCAAACCCTAATGGGCTAGGGAAGAAAACCTATCCCTATTTTTCTTTTTCTTTTCTCTTGAGACAGAGTCTCACCCCGTTGCCCAGGCTAGAGTGCGGTGTGCGTTCATAGCTCACTGCAGCCTCAAACTCCTGGGCTCAAGCAATCCTCCTGCCCCAGCCTCCTGAGTAGCTGGGAGTACAGGTGTGAGTCACTGTGCCTGGCTGTCTGTCCTTGGTTTTCACAAGATAATATTGCAAAATGGGTTTCAACTGCTTTATCAAGTTAAGAAAAGAAGCTTTCTTAGAAGATTGAAGAGATGATGCATAAAAACTTTGAGAGCCACAGTGGGTCATTTTTCCTTCAATGGCCATTCCATTTTTCTCTTAGGAATTAACTTGTAATTTTAATCCCCTCTGTAGGGGCACTTATTTTTCTATCTCCTACCTAATTTCCCCCTAAAAACATGTTTAATGTAAGACAGCAATTCTAAGAATAGTCACAATAGTTCAGTATTTTATGATACCTGAATTGTCATTACATTTTTATCAATTACAGAAAAAAACTCTTCAATAAAATTAATCAATCTGGATATACTTTGTTAACAACAAAGGTTTTTAAAACTGATTTTTTCTCCTAGAATGCATTCTAAGCATTAACTTCTTCAACCTAAATGATGCCTCAAGTCATGCAATTTTCTCTACATATATGACAAAATAAGGAATATACATACAGATAAACATACATAATAAGTGAAGACACCATTCACACGTTCCTAAAAGGTCTGCAGACAGACATTTCCTAATTCACATGGGCTTCTTACAAATACTTACAAAGTTACACTCTTCAAAGGCCAAGTAACAACCACCATTACCTTTAACAAAAAAGTTTTTTTCAGTTATAGGAAAGGCTTTATTATAGTTTGAAAGATTGATATTTTGAGGAGAAAGGCACCAAATTATTATTTTTACTACTTTTTGCATATGGCACAAAGGAGATATGTGAAGTTCCCACTCTAGAGTTTTTAAAACCTCCCATCTTGGATTGGTGTGGCTTCATTGGTGAGGTATCCTGGCTTCAGAGTTTAAAACATTTCTCATTGTATCTATGAATAGTCACACAGCCATGATAGGACACTGGCCTGGGCATTGCAGCTACCCCTGTGATGATACTTGTTGCAGGATCATAACAGAGAATAGTGTCTGTGGCTTCTCCATTTTCCCGTCTTCCACCCAGGATATATATTTTACCATTACACACAGACATACCACAGTTTTCCTGTTTAACCAAATACATAAACAAAAAATTAACCATTGAAGATAAAGGATTTGGTAACAAACAGAAAAGCAAAATAATGCTTTAACACAGTCAAAAAAAGGGAGACATGATATAAGCTAAGGTCCTTTGGCCCAACTCTGTTCTGTGTGTGAGTGCTGGATAAGTTTGCATGAATGAAATGAATGTCAAGATAGATGATATGTCAGTCGTAGCCATAATAAATAATGATATCATGTCCTTTGTAGGGATGTGGATGGAGCTGGAGGCCATCATCCTTAGCAAACTAACACAGGAACAGAAAACCAAATACTGCATGTTCTCACTTATAAGTGGGAGCCAAATGATGAGAATACAGGGACACATGGAGGGGAACAAAACACACTAGGGCCTTTCGGAGGGTGGAGGGTGGAGGGTGGAAGGTTGAGGGGGGAAGAGGATCAGGAAAATAACTAATGTGTACCAGGGCTTAATAACTGGGTGATGAAACAATCTGTACAAGAAACCCCCATGACACAGTGTATCTATGTAACAAACCTGCACTTGCGCCCCTGCACTTAAAATAAAAGTTAAAAAAAAAAAAGATTTTATGTTAGTAATTGGGGCCAAGATGTGGGAGGTAGGATGCGGACTGATAAAAGGGTTTTAATTTAATGGTAGTCAAGCAAAAGCATCTTTAAAGAGCCTGGCTTGCTTCTCCTATTACAGGAAGGTTATTATAGAAAGTGGCAGTTACATGACCAAGGAGTAGGAACAATATTCATTATATGGGATTACCCACAAATTGAATGAATGAATGAGGAAAAAATTTATAACTAAGTTAATGAAACACTGTTATTAGGAGCCCTGGCTGGGCCATATAAATGTCTCAAATAACATCTTACAGTTAACTTCCCACACAATGGGATTCTAAGCTAAATTTTATTATTCTCTGTCAATAATACAGTTACTATATGAAACAAATATTCTTGCAAGGATGAGAGTGATTCTTCAAAAACAAAACCTGCTGGGCATGGTGGCTCATGCCTGTAATCCCAGCACTTTGGGAGGCCGAGGCAGGTGGATCACTTGAGGTCAAGAGTTCGAGACCAGTATGGTCAACACAGTGAAACATCATCTCTACTAAAAATACAAAAAATTAGTTGGATGTGGTGGGGGGTGCCTGTAATCCCTGCTACTCAGGAGGCTGAGGCAGGAGAATTGCTTGAACCTGGGAGGCGGAAGTTGCAGTGAGCCGAGGTTGCACCACTGCACTCCAGTCTGGGTGTCAAGAGCGAAACTTCATCTCAAAAAAAATATAAACAAACAAACAAAAAACCCTACATTAACAACTGACTCACTATTACATGGATCTAATTATACTGCAGGCCAGATATTCTTCCATTTCCAATTAAAGTTTCCCTTTAATTCAGAAAGTTACTGCATCTTATTATCCTGGTTCCACATAACCAACAATGAAATAGGTTCTACCAATGAGTTCAATAAGCATTTTTACTTGGCCAAATTTGCTGTATATAAATTTTGCTCTTATAGAAGAAATTAAATCTTCGTGGCTTTATATAATAGGATACTATCTTTAGGTCTGAAAGAATTTGTGAGTACTTAAAAATGCCTATATTAGAATTTATAGACACCCAGAACGACTTAGCCTATTATCACATAGTGAAAGACACTTTTGTTGAGAATACCACCACCCCCCATGAATTGCACCAATTATGGAACAAACTCTAATATTTTTCATTTAAAGCACAATGAGCTCTTTCTATAAGTTCTTAAAGTTCTGAATATAATAAAAACAAACAAAAACCTTAGTTTTCGGGTACAAGGTAGTTCCCACTATTGAACTTTATAGTTATTTTGATGATGATTCTAAAACAATATATAATTACATGGTTTGGTAATTAGTATCATTTCAGATAATAATGCTCAGAATTAAATAAAGCAAACAACCTTGAAACCAAGTATTCATATCAGGAAATTACATCTATCTGATATAATAGTGTATTTCATGCTAGTAAAATACCATTTACTCTATGCGTTTGTTTATACATAGGAAAAACTTAGTCTTCACTCAGGAGTAAGGGCAGCTTGTAGGAAAAATAATTTATCAATACATAAAGTTTTAATTTTTTTAAAGACTGAAATGAAACATGATCCTAACATTGCAAAAAACAAAAACAAAAAAACCAAAAAAAAAACCCTCTCCTTGTTATTTTTGTATGCTTAAATGTTAAAATGTCAACAATACACAAAAATAATCAGATTTCTTTTCATTTAATTATTCTAATCTTTAATGATATTTTAAATACCTGGTCTCCTGAAGAGAGAGGAAAAAAAGTCTTCATCATTGACTTTTTTTAAAAAAAAAATCCCACAGTTTTTTTTAAAGGATGTTCCTGACAGGAAAGCAAAATATGTTTTGAATAATAAATTGTGTTTTTAGGAATTATACAAAGTCAAAAGAGGCATGGAAATGGTGAAGGACAAACAAATAAATAGGCTGGGTCCATTAGGACTGTAAAAAATAAAGACCTCATTTTTTTCAGCTCTTTTTTGCATTTAATATTCTAAGCACTTTTGGCTTTGGGAGGCCGAGGCAGGCGGATCACAAGGTCAGGAAATCGAGACCATCCTGGCTAACACGGTGAAACCGCCCCTCTACTAAAAATACAAAAAATTAGCCAGGCGTGGTGGCAGGTGCCTGTAGTCCCAGCCACTCGAGAGGCTGAGGCAGGAGAATGGTGTGAACCTGGGAGGTGGAACTTGCAGTGAGCTGAGATCACGCCACTGCACTCCAGCCTGGGCAGCAGAGCGAGACTCTGCTTCAAAAAAAAAAAAAAATTCTAAGCATTTTTAAAAGCAACAGTATTGGGTTCATTTAACTGTATACAGTGAAATTAGTTTCATTTATCCTTTTTCATTGGTTAGTATTAAAAGGGTAAACAATCACTTACACATGGCTCAAAAATTACCTATCAACAACGTGTGCATAAGGCCGGGCGTGGTGGCTGTCGCCTGTAATCCCAGCACTTTGGGAGGCCGAGGCAGGCAGATCACCTGAAGTCAAGAGTTCAAGACCTGCCTGATCAATATGACAAAACCCTGTCTCCACTAAAAATACAAAAATTAGCCGGGTGTGGTGGCGTGCGCCTGTAACCCCAGCTGCTTGGGAGACTGAGACAGGAGAATCGCTTGAACCCGGGAGGCAGAGGTTGCAGTAAGCTGAGATCACATCAGTGTACATAGATGTATTTAGTAGCATTGGTGGTAAGAATAAATAGAGAAGAGAAAATAATTCCCTAAATCCCAGTACTAGATTTGAACTTCAATGATTTGTCTTCGTTAGACTTAATATACTTCTGATCCAAATGTTTATTTTCTTTAAATTTCTAAAGTCAATGAATGTTGTTTAATTCGAGAAAATGTGCCATGTGTGTCCTATTATTTTTTTTTTCTCAGTTTTATCTCAATAACCTAGTTAAAAAACATTCATGTATACCCTGCAATATGCTACATACTGGCAATTATCTTCCTAAACTGTTATTGTTTTATACAATATAGCAAAGTTCTGAATAAATGGTAATTCTTTTTCTTTTTTCTTTCTTTTTAAAAAAAATTTTTTTGAGACAGGGTCTCACTCTGTCACCCAGGCTGGTCCCTAACTCTTGGCCTCAGATGATCCTCCTGCCTCAGCTTCCTGGGGTGCTGGGATTATATGCATGAGCCACTGCATCCAGCTTGAGCAGTAATTTTTTTTTTTTTTTTTTTTTTTTTTTGAGACAGTCTCGCTCTGTCTCCCAGGCTGGAGTGCAGTGGTGCGATCTCCACTCACTGCAAGCTCCATCGCCTCCTGGGTTTGCACCATTCTCCTGCCTCAGCCTCCCGAGAAGCTGGGACTACAGGCGCCCGCCACCACGCCTGGCTAATTTTTTTGTATTTTTAGTAGAGACGGGGTTTCACCATGTTGGCCAGGATGGTTTCAATCTCCTGACCTCGTGATTTGCCTGTCTTGGCCTCCCAAAGTGCTGGGATTACAGGCGTGAGCCATTGCACCCGGCAGAGCAGTAATTCTTAATAAAAATGCATTATTCTTTACAATCTTCACTGAAATAAACCAATAAAAAGCAGCTTAGATTTTTTAAAAATTAGAAATAAGTCTCAATACTTGACCACATGAGGATTCTCATGCAAGTAGGGTACACTGTCACCTCTATAGGGCTGGAGAATGGTTTTCCAAGGGAGGTCCCTGAGCTGGAGAAACGTGATTTATTTTTACTTAGATGTGATATGAGAGGGATAAAAGGTAATACTCATTCTGTACCATGAAGCTGAAGTGCCTATTTGTCCCTTTCATTAACTGGGGCAATGTTACTCTATATATATTACTAATTGGAGACTATACCTCAATGTCAACAACTTTAGAAAAATGGTTTTATATTCAAACCCTATTCACTATCCTTATTATCTATACTGTACCTCTAATGTATCTTGCAAATAATATTATCTTAAAATTAAGTCTCTCTGGTACTCTCTCATTTGTTTACTTATTCAATATATATATTTACTATGCACAAATAAATGCAAGATACATACAAGATGAGTTAGAATAGTGTCCTCAAGAAGACCAAATTCCAGTATAGGAAATAAACATTTATACCCATAAGGGAATATACAATTGCCATAAGAGGTGTGAGTGCTTTAACAGATCAGAAAGCAAAAAAGATCCATTCTGCCCAAGTTAAACTCTGTTGTACTGAAGTGGTCCTTGAAAGATGAGTAGAATTACAAGTAGAGAAGGTTAAAAAGGCATTACAGGCTAAGACGACAGCATGAACCAAGGCAAGAACATTTGTGATCTGTTTAGAGACTACAAATGACAGATACTTAAGGTACCTGAGATAAAGTTATAGAATGTGAAGCTGAAAGGTCAAATGAAGGTCAGGCAGCAGCAGGTCTAGAATGAAGTGCTAAAGTTTTGGATTTTATTTAATAGGCTTCAAATCAAAGAAGAGACAATAAGTAGATTTATTGAAAAATAATAGGCTGGCCACGGTGGCTCATGCCTGTAATCCCAGCACTTTGGGAGGCCGAGGCACGTGGATCACAAGGTCAGGAGTTTAAGACCAGCCTGGTCATCATAGTGAAACGCCGTTTCTACTAAAAGTACAAAAAATTAGCTGGGCTTGGTGGTGGGCACCTGTAATTCCAGGTACCCGGGAGGCTGAGGCAAGAGAATCACTTGAACCCGGGAGGTAGAGGTTGCAGTGAGCGGAGATTGCGCCATTGCACACCAGCCTGGGCAACAAGAGTGAAACTCCGTCTCAAAAAAAAGGAAGAAAAAAAGAAAAATAATTGATGGCAAAATGAGCTAGAGAGACAAGATACTAGAGAACAGAGGACTAATTAGAGTATTTTTGTTTGTTTAGGTAAAAATTGGTAAGAACTTGAACAAAAGTAGAAACAACAGGAATGGAAAAAATAGGAGAACTGATAGGCTAGATTAATTCAATTTAAGAGAATAAAAAGATAATCTAATAAATTAAGTTTCTAGATTATTTGGAAATATAGAAAAAGTAGCTTTGGGGAAGAGGGTAAGTTCTATTTGAAATTTATTTATTTATTTATTTTTATTTTTATTTTTTTTTTTGAGACAGAGTCTCGCTCTGTCGCCCAGGCTGGAGTGCAGTGGCCGGATCTCAGCTCACTGCAAGCTCCGCCTCCCGGGTTCACACCATTCTCCTGCCTCAGCCTCCCGAGTAGCTGGGACTACAGATGTCCACCACCTCGCCCGGCTAGGTTTTTTTTTTTTGTATTTTTTAGTAGAGACGGGGTTTCACCGTGTTAGCCAGGATGGTCTCGATCTCCTGACCTCGTGATCCGCCCATCTCGGCCTCCCAAAGTGCTGGGATTACAGGCTTGAGCCACCACGCCCAGCCTATTTGAAATTTAAAGTCTTGAAATACCCATGTAAAATATCAAATAGGCAGTTAGAAATTTGAGTTTGGAACACAGGAGAGAGGCTTTGATGGTGATAAAGACTTGGAAGTCATCAGTGCTGAGTAGTAAATGAGGTAATTCAGGAAAGAGTATAAACTGGGAAAAGGACAGAGGACAGGCTCAAGGAACACCCATATTTAAGGACTGGGTAGAAAAACAAGAGAGTATGAACGAGAGTGGGGAGATTATTAGCAGTGACCTTTAAGAGTACATCTCTAGAGTGGTATGTGTAGAGCCAGATTTTCAGCATCAGAACCATCAAGCATTTTGGGGGTGGAAGGAAAAAGAGCCATGAATCAAAAGGCGGGGAAAAGGCCTTTTGGGAGATGGCGGTGTGGGTAAGGAGTAGGGTCCCGGGTAGAATATACAGATGAAAGAAAGCTAAGCACAGCCATTTCCTTTATAACAGAAATAACAGATTTCCCAGCCTCTAACCAAAGAAGCAACCAGTTTGGGAACATTTATTCTCTTCTGAAATATGAAAGAGAGGGGATAAATACTGGAGTAGGAGTGTGGAAAAAAAAAAAAGAACAGCCCAAGTGCAACAGATACTTCTCCATGGGATGGTAGAAAGGAAGTTATTTCAATAAAACAATTCCTTGGAAGGAGTTCAAAACAGGTTACCATATGCTTTATGTGAAGTTTTAAAAAACATATAAAATAATTAATTCAAGCAAACATGAAATACTTTATTTCACTTATTTATTTACTTTTTTGAGACGGAGTCTCGCTCTGTTGCCCAGGCTGGAGTGCAGTGGCATGATCTCGGCTCACTGCAACCTCTGCCTCCCAGGTTCAAGTGATTCTCCCGCCTCAGCCTCCTGAGCAGCTGGGATTACAGGCATGTGCCACCACGCCCAGCTAATTTTTAATTTATTTTATTATTATTTTTTTGAGACCGAGTTTCACTCTTGTTGCCCAGGCTCGAGTGCAATGGCGTGATCTCGGCTCACTGCAACCTCCGCCTTCCAGGTTCAAGCAATTCTCCTGCCTCAGCCTCCCGAGTAGCTAGGATTACAGGTATGCACCACCACGCCCAGCTAATTTTGTATTTTTAGAAGAGACAGGGTTTCTCCATGTTGGTCAGGCTGGTCTCGAACTCCCGACCTCAGGTGATCTGCCCGCCTCGGCCTCCCAAAGTGCTGGGATTACAGGCATGAGCCACAGTGCCCGGCCATAATTTTTTATTTTTTAGTAGAGATAGGGTTTCACCATGTTAGCCAGGCTGGTCTTGCTCCTGACCTCAAGTGATCCATCCGCCTCGGCCTCCCAAAATGCTGGGATTACAGGCGTGAGTCACCATGCCCAGCCTGAAACATTTTAAAATTTAAATTCCAGTGTATTAATAATGATTATATACTTGGTCCCTCTTAGATTTATTTTTCTTTTGTACTGCTTTATGTTATTACCTGACGGCTGAATGTATTCTGTACGTGCATCCAGTAATCTTCAACTGGATCATAACAGTATATTGCCTTGGTCAGTCCACCGGCAACATAGATCAGGTTGTTTAGGGATACAGCTGTTATACACCTCTTGGCAATTGGGATAGCTGCACGAAGTAGCCAAGAATTGGTTTCTGGATCATAAGATTGAACCTAATGACATATAAAAATATGTAATTAAAATTTCTAAACAAAAATGGAAATGTACTTAATAAACAGTCTACCAATACCTACAAACATTATTTAAAATAAAATCCTAATAATTCAGAGAATTAAGAGAGGTTAGCCTGATAGTGAAATGTCTGAATTATGAACATTCTCAAATAAAATGAAAATTTATTACTATCAAGCAGAATACAGTACCAAACACACAGAGATTGTTTCCAGAATGAATGGCCACCAGGTTTGTCAATTAAATTAACAGTATAAATTTTTTTACAATTGTGTTATGTAGGATAACTATGCCTCATACCTGAATATAACTTCTTAATGGTTTTAGGGAGTCCTTTCTTCAAAAGAAAACAAGTAAACCTCAATTCCGTCAGTATGCTCTGAACTATCACAAATTCTGAATTAATACATTCTAAATAAGTAACATTCGATCACATTATTTTAAACTGAATTTAGAAAAAGAATGAATAGATTGCTAAACCAGCTAGGCATTAGACGCTGTTTTCCAGAATAAACATTTCCTGTGATGTCAGGATAGCACGTATTCTTTTGTCCCAGGAGTTTACTGAATCGGAGCAACTTTGAGCCATCCTCTATTTACACTATGGAGGTTTCCTTTCCTTTTCTTTTTTCTGAAAAATACTTCAAAAGAATGTAGAAAATGACCCAGTTGGAAGCAGTGTATTTACCGTGTCTTACCATTTGCTAATTCACTTCCCAACTGTGTTTTGTGTAAATAGTTTTTAGATTCTGTAGATGATAGCAAAGGTTCAGAACAATTTATTCAGTACAAAATCTCTACACAGACCGTCTCATTTCAAAAAGATTCGATCACATTTGTTAGAGCAAATTGTTAGATATACTAGAGTCTCACTTTGGCAACCCAGAATTCAATGTTTTTCTCCAAAACTATATAGTACCAGAACTTTTTAAAAAGACCCCTCACACTAAGTGACCTGGCTACCTACTTGATAAGCCTTCTGTATTTCCCTTCTTGTACTTATCATTGGTAATTTCTTTAAAAGTGCATGGCTTACCTTATCAGAACAAGTATTATCATCAGGTCCTCCACCAATCACAAACAGTTTGCCTACACAGCTAGTCACTGCAGGAGAGCTCACTGCTTCCTTAAGGGGAGCAACTTCAGTCCATCGATTTGAAAAGGAATCATAACATTCTACGCTGCTAAGTCTGTTTTGCCCATCATAGCCTCCAACAACATATACCTATATGTAAAATACACATGGAAAAATCTTAATTATGAAAAGTCTGAATTTTGAAGTAGGTGGTTTAAGGGATCTCTTCTCTTTAAAATGCTAAATAAATATAATTGTAATATATTTAGCTCAGAGTTTCTGAGCTTTTTAAAAAATCATCATCCCCCTACCACCATCACAATCCATGGAGCCTTTTTAGGTATTTTATTCCTAATAGTCTTCCTGCCATAAAATTTTAATGCCTCAAATAAATTGTGTATCTATTTACCTTAATGTATGTATAGCTGTGCTTTATACATGAAAGAGTACATGTTTTTTTTCACCTTCTAAGAACCAATCTTTGCCCCCTTGGGGGTAATATTGCTCACACTGAGAATTGTACAATTTAGCTTAAATATTCACACTTACGGGTAATGAAATATTTGATTATTATAAAGTATTAAAGCTCTGAAACTAAAATATTAGGAAAAAATTACTAGACTATGACAGTGCTGAAGGCAGGCCTATCTTTTAGCCCCTACAATATCTAGAAAAGTACTTGACACATAATGAACTCTAAAGTTCACAGAGCTTTTATGTACATTTTCTTTTCACAAATACAAGAAGGGTAGGGCAAATTAATATCTTTATATGACAGGTGAACCAATCAGTAAGATATTTATTAAATGGTTTATATGCAAAATGTCCATTAAGCATCATGGTTTATATAGGGAACTTTCAACCTAACAAAGCTCTCCAGCAGCTTAACATCCACATTTCTCTCTCTCTCTTTTTCTCTTTTTGGAAATGGGTTTCATTCTGTCGCTCAGGCTGGAGTGCAGTGGTATGATCACAGCTCACTACTGCCTCAACCTCCCAGGTTTAAGTAATCCTTTCACCTCAGCTTCCCAAGTAGCTGAAACCACAGGTGTGTATCACCACACCCTACAGATTTATTTTTATTTTTCATAGAGACAGGGTCTCCTTCTGTTGCCCAGGCTGGTCTCTAACTCTTGGCCTCAAGCCATTCTCCCACCCTCAAGCAATCCTCCTGCCCAAAGTGTTGGGATTACAGGAGTGAGCCATCACACCCAGCTCACATCTCTCTTAATGGACTGTCCTCATTAACTCTTCCCTCCATAGCCAATTAACTGCTAAGTCCCACTGAGTCTTCTTCCGCAGCATCTTTCACATCTGCCCCTTCCTTTGTTTCCCGCTGCCGTCACCCACTTGAGGGTCCACAACACTTCATACCTCTCAAATAACCTCCTGGCCTCCATGCTTGTTCTCTCTAAACCACAGATTATTCTTCCTAAAACACTTTATCAATTCCTCTTAATATTTCAACAATGAATGTCTAAGGGTTAAGGCCAAACTTCATACTTCGTCATTCAAATTTGTCCACAATTTATCTTTCTGTGTGCCCCCAAATTTCCACAGTACTCAATGCCACTTATATCATGCATTTCTCACATTATGTTAAAATAATCTGTTGGTGAGTTTGTGTCCCCAGCACCACTCAGCTCGACAGGTTAAGTAACTTACAAAAGCTATATGGAGTATATACACAGCTGTATGGAGTATATACACAGCTGTATGGCATATGGGAGTATATACACAGCTGTATGGGAGTATATACACAGCTGTATGGAGTATATACACAGCTGTATGGAGTATATACACAGCTGTATGGAGTATAGACACAGCTGTATGAGTATAGACAGCTGTATGAGTATATACACAGCTGTATGGAGAAGTATACACAGCTGTATGGAAAGATACACACAGCTGTATGGGAGTATATACACAGCTGTATGGGAGTATACACAGCTGTATGGAGTATATACACAGCTGTATGGAGTATATACACACATAATATGGAGTATGGAACCTGTGGCACGATGTAGCAATTAAGGGCACAGGCTTTGGTCACCAGCTCTGCCATCTAATGTAAGGGCAATTTATCTACCCTTTTGGAGACTCAAATTTATTTCCTCAATTTTATAATTTTTTTTTGAGACGGAGTTTTGCTCTTGTTGCCCAGGCTTGAGTGCAGTGGCGTGATCTCGGCTCACTGCAACGTCCACCTCCTGGCCTCAAGTGATTCTCCTGTCTCGGCCTCCTGAGTAGCTGGGATTACAGGTACCTGCCACCATGCTCGGCTATATTTCCTCAATTTTAAAATGAAGACAATAATAGTATCTATCACATGGCATAATTTTGAGGATTAAACTTTAATACATACTCCTAAATGTGTAGATTAAAATATAATACATGCCATGAGTATCAAGATAAAATGCCTCTAGATTAAGAAAAGTCTGAGTTTTTGCTTCTGCTTTCTCATTTTTTGTGTAATCTTGGGAAGTGACTTAATCTCTTTGGGGTTATTTATAAGATGACCAAGTTACATGAAATATTCTCCATTATTACATCATCCCTTCCTACTCTAAGATTTTTTTCTTTTTTCTTTTTTTTTTTTTGACAGAGTCTCTGTCACAGGGCTGGAGTGCAGCGGTGCGGCTCACTGCAACCTCTGACTCCCAGGTTTAAGTGATTCTGCCTCAGCTTCCTGAATAGCTGGGATTACAGGTGCCCATTACTATGCCCAGCTAATTTTTTGTATTTTTGTAGGGACAGGGTTTCACCATGTTGGCCAGGCTGGTCTTGAACTCCTGACCTTGTGATTCACCTGCCTTGGCCTCCCAAAGTGCTGGGATTACAGGTGTGAGCCACCACACCCAGTAATTTTTTATTCTTTCTTGAGGATTGCAGCCTAAGACACACTTCTAAGTTACCTTAGGGAGTGCTCCCCTAAGATTCTACATTCTAAACCATCCCAGGTTTCCTTAAACTGAGTATTTATAAATTTAAGTATGTTTTATAAGCTTGAATTAAATCTATATTGTAATTTTAGCAAAATGGCTTCCATGAATTGAGCAGTTGCTGTGTAGGATAGGAATGATTCCTTTACTTTATTGATTTAGTGCTTCTAAGCTTTGGGTACCTTCAACTCAAGTACACTATTTTGTCAAATAAATTTGAGTTTACCAATACATATATGGTTTTTGAGACATTAATACTTTTCATTTGCCTTTGTATGTCCAAACTAAATAATTATAAATTTTTAAGTCAGATAGCATCTCCTTCCAACCCCTGGATTATTTTAGCCCCTCTTTTCCAGTAATATTTTATCCTTCTTGAGGCACAGTCTCAAACACTATATATAATATAGTAGGTACTGACAAACCAAATGGTTTTAGAAAAGATTCTATTAACATGTTATTTCCAGTAAATCTGTCTCAAGGTCCTCATTATTTCACTGGCCATGTAGACAGCAGCAGCACACTAGATCCAGGTCATTAGGAATAAACAGCTTTTAAACCGTGTTTTGAGCTGGGCATGGTGGCTCATGCCTGTAATCCCAGCACTTTGGGAGGCTGAGGCGGGAGGATCACTTGAACCCAGGAGTTTGAAACCAGCCCAGGCAACAGGATGAAACATCATCTCCACAAAATATGCAAAAATTAGCTGGGTATGATGGTGTGTGCCTGCAGTCTTAGCTACTAGGGAGGCTGAGGTGGAAGGATCACTTGAGCCCAGGATGTCGAGGCTGCAGTGAGCCATGATTGTGCTGCTGCACTACAGCCTCAGCAACACAGCAAGACCCTATCTCAAAAAATAAAAATATAAACTCTGTTTTGAGAAGCTCTAGTATTCTACACAGTGGTCCCCAACCTTTTTGGCACCAGGGAGCAGTTTCATGGAAGACAATTTTTCCACAGGTCTGGGTGGGGTACTGGTGGTGGTGGGATGGTTTGGGGATGTAAGTGTTCCACCTCAGATCATCAGGCATTAGCTTCTTCTCATAAGCAGCTGCAGCCTAGATATCCCTCATATGTGTTGTTCATGCTCCTATGAGAATCCAATGTGTGCTGATCTAACAGGAGGTAGAGTTGAGGCGGTAGAGCTCACTCAGTGGCTGCTCACCTACTGCTGTGAAATTAGGTTCCCAACAGAATGATGCCTGCAGTGGCACAATCTTGGCTTACTACAAACTCCGCCTCCTGGGTTCAAGCGATTCTCCTCCCTCAGCCTCCCGAGAAGTGTGAGCCACCGCGCCCAGCCTAGTATAGAGGTTTTAAGAAACCCGTGTGAGGAAAGAGAGGAAGGAGGACTAATAAGAGGCTGACCAAGAAGGGTTCCTGATCACCATTTCTGTTTCAACTAGAGCTTTGTTTTTTCAGTGGTGGTACTTAACTATCTCCATAGGAGGGCCTATGAGACAGCAATCTTTTTAGAAGGGGGTGCTAGGAGATCAGCCAAAGACATATGCGAAAGCAAGTATGCTGCTTTTAGTTGTTCATTAATTTGAGGTGGTTTTGGACGAGCATATGGAGATGGGGGCAGAGAGAAGCTAAAGACTCTAAGGTAATCCTTGGTACAACTGCTGTATTTTCATCTGTTAGGTAATACATTTTTGTATTAGATATGACTTTTTAAAAGAGAGTATACAGGTCGAACTTCCCAAATCTTAAAAAATCTGAAATCCAAAATGTTCCAAATCTGAAACTTTATGAGTGATGACATTAATGCTCAAAGAAAATGCTCATTGGAACATTTCAGATCTTGGATTTTTTGATTTGGGATGCTCAACAAATACAATGAAAATATTCCAAAATATGAAAAAAATCCAAAATATTTGGCCTGGTACAGTCGCTCATGCCTGTAATCCCAGCATTTTGGGAGGCTGAGGCAGGCAGATCACTTGAGCCCAGGAGTTCAACACCAGCCTAGGCAATATGGAGAAACCCCATCTCTACAAAAAATACAAAATTAGCCAGGCGTGGTGGTGTGCACCTGTGGCCTTGGCTACTTGGGAGGCTGACGTAGAAGGGATAGTTTGGGTCCAGGAAGTCAAGGCTGTAGTGAGCAGTGATGGCAGCACTGTACTCCAGCCTGGGCAACAGAGTGAGAACCTGTCTAAAAAGAAAAGAAAAAAAAAATCCCAAATCAGAAACACTTCTGGTCCCAAGCATTTTGGAAACTCCACCTGCAGTTGCTTTTAAAAAGTTTGGAAACTGGCTAGATGCGGTGGCTCATGCCTATAATCCCAGCCTTCTGGGAGGCTGAGGTGGGAGGATCACTTGAGCTCAGGAGTTGGAGACCAGCCTGGCCAACATGGTGAAACCCTGCCTCTACTAAAAATACAAAAATTAGCCAGGTGTGGTGGCGAACACCTGTAATACCAGCTACTCAGGTGTCTGAGGCAGGAGATCACTTGCACCGGGAAGGCAGAAGTTGCAGCAAGCTAAATAATGCCACTGTACTCCAGCTTGGGCAACAGAGTGAGACCGTGTCTCAAAAAACAAAAAAAAAGTTTGATTCTCAGGTTCCTATAGACAGTAGATGGTTCAGAACCCAAGTAACGTATTGTTTATAATAATCATTAGCTGCAGTCAAGAATAGGTTTTCTTTAAAAATGTGAGTTTTTTAATTTTAATTTTAATTTTTTTTGAGATGGAGTCTCGCTCTGTCGCCAGGCTGGAGTGCAGTGGTGTGATCTCAGCTCACTGCAACCTCCGCCTCCCGGGTTCAAGCAATTCTCCTGCCTCAGCCTCCTGAGTAGCTGGGACTACAGGCGCACGCCACCACGCCCAGCTTATTTTTTGTATTTTTAGGAGAGATGGGGTTTCGCTACATTGGCCAGGATGGTCTCAATCTCCTGACCTCATGATTCGCCTGCCTCGGCCTCCCAAAGTGCTAGGATTACAGGCGTGAGCCACCGTGCCCGGCCTGTTAGTGAGTTTATCTTAATATTTATTTAAAATAAAAAAGATAAAATACATGACTTTGGATAAATATATCTCTGCCTGACTGGCAAAGTTAGTAAAAAGAAAACAAACTGCATGGGTTAGACATTGGCCTGTCTGTATCTGATGTAACTCCTTTATTTTCCAATGCTTCTTAGGCATTTGGACTCCAGTGATGCATGAGAAGAGAAATGTGCTGCACTGCCATGAATTCCAAATTAGGAGAACAAAATATCCATTCAAAAGTACAGTGTCATATTGTTTATATCTTTGGTTTATCTATTGAGGTTAGAAATGGAAGGAAATACAATTTGAATCCAAAATACCCAGAGGGTGAGTAAAATGAAAGATTCAGCTGTGGTATTTACTTTGGAAATGTACCAGCAATAGTAATAAAAAGTGGTTTCTCTTACTTTACCAAGGAGGACAGCCATTTTGTGACGCCATCTGCCTTTATTGAGAGAGGCAACTCTGATCCAAATATTTAACTGTGAGTTATAAATCCAGACATCACGGCTGTTGATTCTTCCACCTTTAAATGCAAAACAATGTACACACAATAATTTATCACGATATAGCTGTCACCAAGAGATCTGTGCCACCAAGGCATAGGTAAAGAAAACATGGAATTCATTCATCTAATTCAAGAATTTGAGAATTCAGCTCAATAAATAAAGACCTCTTGAAGTTTAATGGAAATAGTTCTACAGAGCAAATTTAAATTTTACCAATTGTTATCCTGATAAGTGATAATTATAGATCCAAAATAATAAAATACAGGATGTGAATTTTACAAACATAAAACATTGTTAATTTAAGAGTAAGACATTAGAAGCACCCAAATAATGGTATTATTCTAAAGGTTTGTTCTTTAAATCACCGATATTTCTTTTTTCTTTTTTTTTTTTTTTTTGAGACGGAGTCTCACTCTGTCGCCCAGGCTGGAGTGCAGGGGCGCGATCTCGGCTCACTGCAAGCTCTGCCTCCCGGGTTCCCGCCTTTCTCCCGCCTCAGCCTCCGAGTAGCTGGGGCTACAGGCACCCGCCACCTCACCCGGCTAGTTTTTTTTGTATTTTTAGTAGAGACGGGGTTTCACCATGTTAGCCAGGATGGTCTCGATCTCCTGACCTCGTGATCCGCCCGCCTCGGCCTCCCAAAGTGCTGGGATTACAGACTTGAGCCACTGCGCCCGGCCCTAAATCACTGATTTTTCAAAAAGCATACTATTGTAAAAAATAAAGTATGTATTGTTATATTTCTCAGTGTGGGTAATATATACAATAATCTGCAAAACTGGTGAAATTATTTTACCAATTAACAGACTTCCCATCATAGATACTATAGTTATACTTTGTATAAGTCTGTCATTTTATTTTCTAATTTTAAAGGTAACATATCACATATCAAAGAAGTTCAAGTTAAGAACTTTAAAGCAAATCTTATTTCATAAACTTTGGGGAGAATTTCAAACACATGGGTGAATTAGAGATGCTTAATTCTATGAGTACTTCTGACATGCAAAGAGGTAAAGTTTAAAAAATTATAGCATATTCTACATGCATTTGAGAGCATTTAAAATATGACATGATTAAAGGCATTTTCTGGTGGATCTTTTGTAAATCATTCCATGTCATCTTGTACCTGTTTGTGTTTTTTTGGTTGTTTTTGTTTGTTTTTTGTTTTTGAGACTGAGTCTCACTTTGTCACCAGGCTGGAGTGCAGTGGCGTGATCTCGGCTCACTGCAATCTCCACCTCCCGAGTTCAAGCGATTCTCCTGCCTCAGCCTCCCGAGTAGCTGGGACTACAGTTGCCCACCACCACACACGGCTAATTTTTGTATTTTTTTAGTAGAGATGGGGTTTCACCATGTTGGCCAGGATGGTCTCGATCTCCTGACCTGGTGATCTGCCCGCCTCGGCCTCCCAAAATGCTGGGATTACAGGTGTGAGCCACCGTGCCTGGCCTTGTACCTGTTTTTAAGAACAAAAAATCATGCTTGGTTTTATTTGTTGTAAACGAATCTTCCTAAAGTGGGAGTATTCACATTTTAAGACACTGTGGATGTTTAAAATAATGAAGTTGTGTCCAAATTAAAAGTAGCCACTGTAATAATTCTATATTTACCTGAAACAAGAATGTCATTCCTTAGAGCACAGACTGCATACTCTGATTTGGTAAATTCTGGAAGCTTAGCCAAAGACTTCCATTCTCCTGTTACAGGATCATAGCACTCAGTGTATGGAAGATTAAATCCTCCAACTCGCTCACATCCTCCAACGACAACTATCACCTCAGAATAGCCAGTGGACCTAAAATAATAATTATTAGCATACATAAGTAATATTACATTAAAATATTCTCAAGATTTTTTCTTAAAACTCTAAAAACAAACCACACACTATTATAAACCGTTGTGCATGTGCCAAACAGTACAGGCTGGAAATTACTTACCTTGAGAACCTTTACAGGGGAGCTAGTGACATCATTATTCCACAGAAAATTTCTGTTGGTACTTTTTACTATTGGTTTTGACCTGAAAATTGTGAAGCAGTCCAAAGATCCTATCTAACCCAATCAGAACCCTGGGAATATTAAGGATGACTTTCAAATGCAGTTTTGCAGTGATTCAGATATGCATAACCACACAAGGGAAGATAATGCATTTTTTTCTAACTGTAGGAAAATGGGGCTTTTTCATCAGCTTGCTAGTTCTAAAAAATAATTCATAGTATAATTCAAGCACCCTTTAAAGGAATATGTATATATACTTGTTTAGAAGTTAATATTTAAAATACAAAGTCAAGTAAATTAAGGTAATCCAACTCAAAATATTGGGTAATCACTAAAAAGGCTAACAGAGTTTATAACAAAGAATGTTAAAGGAGAAAAGCAAGATGAAAAATTGTACCTTAGGCATGTTCAATACTATCTAAAAACTGTATCTGGAAAGAATACACCAAAATGCTAAAGACAGTTGTCTCTGACTTGTGTGGCTCCCCCCATTTCTCTCATTACAAATTTCCAAACAATAATGAGCCTGAGCTATTTCTAGAATGCAAAAAACAGCTTTTAACACCATGAAAAGAATTCTAATGTTTATGTTAAGCACTAGCTTCTCTCATTTTTAAAATTTAAAATAGGGACAGGAATAACCAAAAGCTTATCCACAATTTTTTTGTTCTTAAGGTTCAATTGATAGTTCAGGAATTTTAAAATTATTTAACTTTTATATTTTTCACAAATATCTAAATGAAAATGTTTCATATTTACATTTTATGGTTGCTACAAGTTAAGTCTCACAAAGAAAAATGCCAACAATCCTTCTTCTCTTACTTAAATATAGAGGAGGAAAAAAAACCCACATCAGAACACTGATTTGTAATTTTAGTCAGTGTGCTGTTACACAATTACAGTAGGAAAAAAACAAGCAATACTGGCGTGTCTCTTTTAACAGAACTATTCTAGCTATATTTACTCAGAGCTATGTCAACTAACCAAATCACTTACCTATTCTATGCCAGGCATACTTTTTCCATTATAAAATCAGAAATACATATGGGAGAAAAGAATTCTCTCCATACATGCAACCAAAAGTACTTTTAGGAATCCAGGAAATTATATAACCTTTACCTAGTATTCAGTAAAACATTAACAGAAGGACCCAAATATTATCAGTAATATTTACTATTTTCCAAGTAATTCCAAAATAAAAATATTAAAAATAAAGAGAGCACAGCACCAGATACTTTAGTAGTATAACTACTGATTTATCATTCTTTCCATTATCATTTCCTAAAACACACTTAAAATCTAAGACAAATCCTCAAAAAAAGGTGATATTCCTCAAAGTCTTATTTATTGGTTAATCAAAACAAACACTGCTAGTCACTGAAGTTAAATCACTTCTAACTGTCTTAATATAAAATCCAGAGTAATGATTATATATCATAGGGTATTGTTTTATCCTTTCCTTATTGCACATTATTGGTTTGTACTTTCCCTTTTTTTAACTTGCTTGCCTTTTTCAAGACTTCTTAGCCTGATAAACATATGTTATCTGTTTTTGTACTCTGGAACAGAAAGAGAAAACAGCATGAAAAGCTAATTGCTAAAATATTTGGTAGCAATAAATAAAGGGTAACTTCAATGTCTGCTAGAACGTATGTCTATCTGAAAGGATTAGCAAGCTAGTAGTTTTACTTATATTAAATATCCTATTTGCAACCAAATGGCTTTTAGCTTAATTAGCTATATCTGATGTTCTCATCAGAGGCTGTTAACCCAATAAAAGCATTATTTCTTGAGCCTGGAGAAATACTTATCTCAGGCAGAGAGCTAATGGCCTTAAAGGAAATAGGTTACTCCAGCTGATAATGGCAAGTAAAACAAAATGGCAGGCAAGATGACAGTATAGCATAAATAAAATTTTGGATACCCATGTAATCTATTTCTAGAGTGAATGTCATGTAACTGTATTTCATTAATTCTTTTTTTTTTTTTTTTTTTAATAGAGACAAGGTCTTACTCTATTGCCAAGGCTAGAGTACAGTGGCGAGATCGTGGCTCACTGCCACTCCAACTCCTGGCTGAAGTGAGCCTCTTGCCTCAGCCTCCCAGGTAGTTGGGACTACAGGCACATGTCACCACATTTAGTGAATTTAAATTTTTTTTTTTTTTTTTTTGTAGAGACGGGGTCTCACAATGTTGCCCAGGCTGGTCTCAAACTCATGCGCTCAAGCCATTCTCCTGCCTTGGACTCCCAAAGCACGAAGATTACAGCATGAGTCACCATGCCCAGCTTCATTAATTCTTTAAAGTAAAAAATCCAGGCCAGGTATGGTGGCTTATACCTGTAATCCCAGCACTTTGGGAGGCTGAGGCGGGCGAATCATGAGGTCAAGAGATCGAGACCATCCTGGCCAACCTGGTGAAACTCCGTTTCTACTAAAAATACAAAAATTAGGTGGGCACGGTGGCGTGCGCCTGTAGTCCCAGCTGCTCGGGAGGCTGAGGCAGGAGAATTTCTTGAACCCACAAGGCAGAGGTTTCAGTGAGTCGAGTTCGCACCACTGCACTCCAGCCTGGCAACAGAGACTCTGTCTCAAAAAAAAAAAAAAAAAAAAAAAAATCTGATTTTCTGCTATGATGCAATAACAAATATTTGTTACTTTAGTATTAATTCTCTCCATTTGCTTCTAGGAAAGTGTGATGACCAAATTATCCTTTTTACAATGGTAATACATCTTTAAAAAATCTTCTTTTATCATTAATTTGAGAAAATATCAAATTAAAAGTTCATGTTCTTTGATTTATGTGAAAGATAAAACAATCATAAATCCACAGGATAGGGCTGGGCGTGGTGGCTCACGCCTGTAATCCCAGCACTTTGGAAGGCCTAGGCGGGCAGATCACGAGGTCAAGAGTTCAAGACCAGCCTGGCCAACATGGTGAAACTCCCACCTCTACTAAGAATACAAAAATTATGTGGGTGTGGTGGCAGGCACCTGTTATCCCAGCTACTCGGGAGGCTAAGGCAGAAGTGCTTGAACCCAGGAGGCAGAAGTTGTAGTGAGCCGAGGTTGTGCCACTGCACTCCAGCCTGGGTGACAGAGTAAGACTCCGTCTCAAAAAAAAAAAAAAAAAAAAAATTCCACAGGATATTCTAAACCACATTTAAAAAATGTAGTAATTATTGGATTCAATTTAAATATCCTGAAAGGTGAAATAGAGGAATTGCTGGCTGAAATAACTGACCTACTTATAATTAATGCCAAATATGCTAGACATGAGGAGTGCCAAAAAAAAGTGTTGAAAAGTGATCCTGGCTAATAAGAGTAACTGAATATATATTTTTTAAACATATACAATAGGAAAGGAAGTATGTCCATGTAGTATGAAATTGGGAAGGAGAAGGGAGAGATATTAGTGATATAGTCTGTTCACTATTCTAAAACCCAGAAATACCTGAAAATCAAACCATCAAATCAAAATAATGAACTAAAATAGAGATACGAGATTTTAAGCCTTAAAGAGACAGAATGGTTCTCTAGTCTTTAAGATATGACAGTTACCAAACTCAGTGTATTAATTTATCTAAAAGAAACTATGTATCAAAAAAGGGGAGGTCAGCTGTAGAAGCAATAAGTAAATGAATAAAGAAATGAATCAAAGAGTAGATGATAATCACAGAGGCAAACATTTGCTGTGCCCATTCAGGTTATTATCTAAGGGAGAGACAATCTAAGCTAAGCTACCTAGAATAGTATTGGTTTTCTGGCAAGAATGTTTTGATGGTGGGTGAGACTTCCTCAAGCTATATACTAGCTGAGAGGACTTCAGTTCTAAAGGTCTGCTAACTCTGTTTGAATTCCATGCTTGCCAAATGACCTTTGAAAACTTGGGCTTCCCATGTAGTGACTTGTCCATAGTTAGAGAATATTACCGGGCAGATTGACCTAAAATAGGTAGCCTGCTTGTTAATTCCATTTCTTATTGCAAACAGATATATACAGACTAGGAGATGAGTTAATTGGTCTGTCATACTTAATGTTAAATCTGCCTCTAATAGTCTGATCTACTGTATAAAAAGAAAAAGTTCCTGAGCCTAGAGGTGCTTGTTAATTCCATTTCTTATTGTAAACAGATATATACAGACTAGGAGATGAGTAATTGGTCTGTCATTCTTAATGTTAAGTCTGCCTCTAATAGTCTGATCTATTCTTACTATATAAAAAGAAAAAGTTCCTGAGCCTAGAGGAATCACTGGATCATGGTGAATTCACCAATATAAATGACCCCATTAGACACTTATACCAGCCATAAGCCTTAGAGCTTTTTTTTTTTTTGAGACGGAGTCTTGCTCTGTTACCCAGGCTAGAGTGCAGTGGCGCGATCTCAGCTCACTGCCAGCTCCGCCTCCTGGGTTCACGCCATTCTCCTGCCTCAGCCTCCCAAGTACCTGGGACTACAGGAGCCCACCACCACGTCTGGCTAATTGCTTTTGTATTTTTAGTAGAGATAAGGTTTCACTGTGTTAGCCAGGATGGTTTCAATCTCCTAACCTCGTGATCCGCCCGCCTCGGCCTCCCAAAGTGCTGGGATTACAGGCGTGAGCCACCGCACCCGGCCAGAGCTTTTAAATTTGGTTGAGGACACAGTATCAATTTGTGTGGTAAGGCTTTCCACCTGAAACTGCAATAGGTAGGACTGCTTCTATATGAAAATGGCTATATTGATCAAAAGACTCAAAATGCCAACTTTTCAAAACTGGCAATTATCTAAGAATTTATCATCAGAAACTAATCATAGA